ATGGAGTAGTCAGAAATGCTAGATTTCACAAAAGCCTTCTGAAAGCAAACTTCACCAGTATCATAATTAATTATTCATGCAATTTCTTCTGTAAGGGTACCAAAATCCAAACATGAGTTTGCCTCCTTTGACTTTTACTCAATTTTTGAGGGAACTAAGTGTCTTGAAATGCGCTTCCCGTGCCGTTCGCAACGGGGTTACCCTTTTCGGTACAACACCGATAGAAAGTTAGCTCCTGCGTCGGCTCTTTACGCCGAAGAGGATAAAATCTATTCAAGTTCTCTCCGCCGCGTTAAACATGTACAGCGCCTCCACCTACTCTAAGCGAACAATAATGTTTTTGTGGATACAGGAATAAAGACTGCTGACAGGATACCTGCTGCTCCAGTCCAAGCGGCCTGTCCGCCATTTTGAGGCATAAAAAGGAGGTGAAAAAAATTACAGCCACATCGTCATTTTCCCCACCTAACGCCGGATTTCCTTCGACCACAGCCGGCTTCACACTCGAGAAATATAAAACTCACCCTTTGGTTTCCGTCCGTGGAAATCCTCAGCAGCCCCTGACAACAACACGACCCGGCAGGGCGTGAGATTTCCGCTGCGAACTTGGATCTTGTGATGTGGAGGTAAACTGTGTCCGTCTTGTCTCAGCTCCGCTTTGCTTGTTTTTTTTTTTTTTTTTTTTTTTTTTTTTTCCGTTCGCCGCCTCAGCCGCAGTCGCCTTCACGGGGCACGCGCGTAAAACTCGCGTTCACTGCTCGACGGGAGCGCGCACGTCCTTGACAAAATAAAACGTGAATCAAAATAAAACGTTTTTATTATTTTTCTTTTAAACTCTTACTTTAAGCTCAGTTCGTTTTTGATTAATTACACAAAGCTGATTCAAAACTTTAGCATTTAAGAATAATTTTATACCTGGCGGGAAATGCTTTTATATTTTTAGTATTTTAATTTTATTGACACAAAACATACCAACAGTGGATGAATCAGACAACACGTTTTGATCTTTATTCATTTTAAAGGGAAATGTGAAAATTTTCTTTTTGCTCTTTGTATAATAAGAAACTTAAGTTAAACTTTATTTTATTTATAATTTTAATTAATTTACAAATTGAGCAGTCTTGGAGAAGAAAATGAAAATGCAGTTTGGATTATTTATTTTAAATTGTATTTATGAGTCAAAACATGCAGCTTTATTTTGAAAATGAAAAGCATTTCTATTAATCCATTTTAATTTGATAATTGAGACATAATTGCTTCCATATTTTGTGAGGTGGTATGACTTTAATTTTTCCACTTTAAAACGCATTTAATTTCAAATGCTCCACCTCTTCCCCCCTCTTCCTGTCACCTTTAGTCACATTTACAAGTAATCAATATGTCTATTAATGAATTAAAGCATTACATTTTATCTAGAAAAATATTCTGAATCTGCTACATTAACATTTAGCTCTCTGTTTTTTATTCATTACTATTTGCATATTTTTATTTTTATCTTGATCTGAACACTTGTTTCACCACAGGTCACTTGTTAAATTGTAAAAAAACAAACAGTTTTTCATTTTATTCGTTTTATTTGATTCATTTTAATAAAAAAAGAGAAGTCAGACCAATAAAAAATAATTAGATTAGTATGTAAAAAGCATCAAACAAACACCAACTCACTACTGGGGGTGGAGCAGATTTTACCACAACACATACAAAAGATTTGTGCGCATATTTCATCAGCACATCACACAAAGACAAAAAAAACTTGAGTAAAATGCATATTTGAGGGTTGATATTAGGGTTTTTTCTGCACCCAGCACATTGCATTTCAGGTAGAGTGATATATTTGAAAATTACGTGAAAGTACTTTAGTCTAAAGTTTATATTATTAGCTCCAGCTTTTCATATTTTTGCACATTTTAGGATAATGTCCAACTCATGTTCCTAATTTAAAAGGCGCAACCGTTTCTCTCAAGACAGTTTTTTTTTCTGCAAAGTTAACATTTTCTTTATCTGTTGCAAATAAATTAATAATTTAAAGACTGTTTGGCTGCTGCAACTTCTAAAATAAACCACTTCCCTTACATATTTGCATTAAAAAGAAGTTATGTTCATGTGCATTTTAGTTTTCCTTTAAAATAAAATGTTTTGCCCCCATCTTGTGGACACTGTTGGTGTCACTGGTGACAGTAAAGAACATGAAACAAGGAAAAATAAAAAAAACTAGAACCAGAAAGGAAATCTCAGCTCTATATCCTGTCAAAAGTTCACCCATCATCACCCATAACGACACACATTTGCTGTGCAGCTAATGGGACATTTCAGAGAAGTCATTGAAGCAGCCCCCATTTCTCAACCTGAAAGGGTTCTTATTTTTAAGGAACTCTAAGGTCCATCTTGTCTTGTGCAGAGTAAAATAAAAAAAAAAACTGCATTTTTTAAAAACAATAAAACCCCACACTATCTCTCTATTGCTTTAATCACATGTATCTCTACACATGTAAATTAGCACATTGCATGAACACAACCTTTGTCTTGTTTTAGGGAGAACATCACAACGAGACAGCCCTGTGTTCTGTACACTTTTGGTGATGTCGTGCACGAGAATGCACAGCTCTAGAAAGTACAGCATACCCACTCGCTCCTGGCTACGTTTTTATATCCGCTACACGTGAAGCAAGAACAAAATACACACGGTTCTAACAACGCTCCCCCAAGACGTTCATGTTTGTACGGGACTTCAAACAGACGCAGGTTTTACATCAGTGTCCATTAACGTTTTAAGGAAGTAGGCATCATGAATTGAACAGCTTTAACTTGTAAAAAATATTTAAAAAGAAAATATTTGACTTTATTTTAACTAGGCAACAGCAAAACGAGCAACATAATTCCTGTCAAGACTACATGAAGCCACACACACACACATGCACATATTTTCTGTCAGAATGTCAAGAGAACTGAACACAGCTAGTTATAAATATTATATTATTAATATAATATTGGCACAAAAACTAAGGAAATCTGTGCCTGGTTGATATTTTCTTTTTTGTAACAGTATTTATTGGCAATAACTTTTATACTGTTGGAAAAAAAAAGTTATATTCCCCTTTAAAAGGTGCCACATTTGTTAGAATGTATTTGTGGGGTGAGCAGCAGTTTGTTGGTTGCACCCGTAAAGAAAAAATTGTCATGTTTTCCGCCAGTAACAAACTGTTCCAAGTGTTTATTGGATTGAATGATTAAAATCTGAACAAAAAAAAAAAAACAATTTCTCCATTAATTCAACAGACCTCAGTAGCATGTGGAAGAACCATACACAGCCACAACAGCTGGGCACATCATGCTGCTCACCAGTTTGATCACACTGCTGTGGGATGGCGTCCCATTCTCCAACCAGCATTTGCCACAAGTCGGCCAATGTTTGGATAACTCTGGGACAAACAGCCGAGCTGATCCCAAAGCATTCAAGAGGGGGTTGAGGTCAGGACCGCAGGCGGGCCCTCTCCACTTCCAAATTCTGGAGGCAATTTCTGATAAAACCCTGCTCTACAGGGGAGAGTTGTCTTGGGAGGATCGGGTTCAGCCCCATACTGGAGATATGAGATTGCCACTAGTTCAGGGCTATTCAACTGGTGGCCCACGGGCCAAATCAGGCCCACGGATGAGCTCAGTTCGGTCCATCAGTGGGGTTATTTTTAAATAAAACTAGATTTTAAACCATGAAACAAACTTAATGACAATAACTGCTGGATGTCCGGCCCCTGAGCTCTTGGCTTTCAGTAACTGTGGCCCCCTGAGCAGTTGGGTTGAATAGCCCTGCATTAGTCGCTCCCAGATCCAGTGCCTTACGGTCAGCACCTTAACCTCTGATGGGGTTTTAGAAGTGTAACACAAGTCACTAACAGAATGAGCAGTTTGTAATGCACTAAACTATTGGTTGTGACATTAATGCGAAACAAACAAGTTGTCAACTGCGAAAGAAAACCCCAAGAAAAAGCTGTTTGGCATTGAATATTTAACTTTTTTCCAACAACTCAGTACATGTACCCAACAAATGTGGCAATATTTCAGGGAAACAAACAGGCTTTCCAACAGTATAAGATTTAGTGCCAAGTTTTGTTACAAAGAAATAACTGACCACACACAAATTGCCTTAACTTTTGTGCTTATTAATGGATAAATGTACGGCTCAAAGTGGACGTATTAATTTTTCCCCCCTCTCCCTTATTCACATCAAGTACCTGCCTTCAATAGAGATTTATACATCTTCTAAACATTTTCTAAAAAAAAACAGACATGGCTTTAATTAAGTCATCAATAAGCATACAATACTCAAGATTCTCCTGTGCGCTGTTATAAAAATGGACTTATTTCAATGAAAAATAAAAGGAATAAAATTCAAATGATTGTTTTGACTGACAGAAAGCTTGCTCTGCGTCCCTTCCTGGGACGTGGCCAAACAAATGACAACATTTAAACTCATGATCCATCATGAACGTGTAAAAGAAAAAGGGGAGATTACATTCTGAAGCCCAAGCTTGAAAACGTTCATATGTACTGACTTTGTTCTGGTCGTAGTGCACAGTAGAAAAAACAAACCCTGAGTTCTAGGACAGGGTTGGTGCCGCATCATTCAAAGCACCTTTAAGAAATGGGAGCTGAAGGGGGCGGGCGGTCTTCTAGGCTCTTTAGGCAGTGGTGGGGTGAAACGTGGTCCTGGGCTGACAGTGCTGAGGGCATAGAAGAAGCATGATGTGGACATGATGGACTGAATAAGGCTCTGGTTCATAAAATCATGGTAGTTCTTGGTCTCAGAATCAGATTCTAAGCAGCAAACTCGTTCACACCAGGTTTCTGAGCCCAGGACGATTCAGATTGCATGTTACTTTGATTTATTTATTTTTTTCCATTCGTCATTTCTGCTCCTGCTCTCTTTTCATGTTCTCCTGTATTCCACAGTTTGTCTCTGACCCCCACAGTTTATTTCAAAGCTGATTTACTTGGTTCATGGGTCCACAGGCTCCAGGCTGTTGCACCACAGCCTCCATCCCTCTCATTGTTTTAAAAGCAGGAAGTATTTGTTGAGGCTGTTTGAGTATTAATCAACAGGGATTTTGTCTTCTAGTTCCAGTGGGCTGTCCTCGATGGGCTCCTCGCTCTTCCCCAGCTCATGCAGCTGCTGTCGCCTCTGCACCTCGGCCTTCAGGTTCTCCAGATCCTTTTGGCTGAAAAAGGCAAAAATACACTTACTCGGAAAAGTTGTGATAACTTGTCTACAAGCTTTTTGAAGAAGCCAACTAAAATACCCACTTTATACCAGAGTGTAACAAAATCCTAGTCCTCAGTGCACACCAAGATGAGTGCTTTAGATGTTCCACTGCTCTTACACATTCAGTTTACATTCATACTTTTTAATGCAATACAACTTTATTTATAAAGCACTTTAAAAACAACACCCGTTGGCCAAAGTGCTGTACACTAACACATACAAGCAGGTATAAAAACATAAAATCAACTGAAACCATAAAAGTAATGAACTACCAAAATCATAAAACAGCAAACAGTAAAAACAATTAAACAAATAACTTACAAACAGTAAAACCAACATTTCGAGCTGAGTTAAAAGCCAAAGAATAAAAAATGTGTCTTCAGCAAATATTTAAAAACAGGAAGTGAGTCAGCTTGTCTGACGTGCAGGCAGCTCGTTCCACAGTTCAGGGGCAGCGACTGAGAACGCTCGGTCACCTCTCAGCCTCCTGTTGGACTTTGGGACGACCAACAGCAGCTGATCTGCTGATCTGAGAGAGAGAGTGAGGGAACGTACAGCTGGAGCAGGTCGGACAGATACTGTGGGGCGAGACCATGAAGACATTTGAAAACAAACAAAAGAACCTTAAAATTAATCCGGAAACGAACTGGGAGCCAGCGTAGTGATTTTAAGACAGGGGCGATGTGCTCTCGATTTCTGGTACAAGTTAAAAGGCGGCAGCAACATTCTGAACCAGCAGCAGGTGAGTCAGTAATGACTGGCTCAGATCGACATACAGTGAATTACAGTAGTCCAGACGAGTTGTGATGGAAGCATGGATTAAAATCTCAAAATGATGTTTTGACAGAAATGGTTTGACCTTGGCCAGTTGTCTCAAGTGATAAAAGCTGGACTTGATCACTGATTTCATCTGTACATATAGTTTAAAGTCATTGTCCAGCCTCATACCCAGGTTAGTTGCTGTCTCAGTCAGATGTGTTAAAGGACCCAGATCAGCCTGGACTTTGGAACCATCACTGGGCTTAAACAACAAGATCTCAGTCTTTTCCTCATTAAAACGTAAAAAGTTCTGTGACATCCTTGCTCTGACTTCTGCCAAACATTCCAGGAGTTGGTTCACGGAGTATTGTTCATCTTGCTCTAATGGCACATAAATTTGGCTGTCATCAGCATAAAATGAAAAGTAACACCAAGTTTCCAGAGAATATATCCCAGAGGGAGTAAATATAGAGAAAACAGAAGGAGGCGAAGTATAGATCCCTGAGGTACTCCACGTGAGAGGCGCTACAGAAGACTCCACAGCACCAATACGCACACAGAAGCTTCTCTGTTAAATATGATCTAAACCACTAATGTACTAATTAGTAATGTACTAATAAATGCACTAATAATGCTTTTGCCTGTGCCAGCTCAGTCAGTTTTTACAGCTGAGCTGAAAATGGGTGTGTAAGTAAAATAAGAGGCAAAACACAGTAACGCTCCTCTCTGACTCTACCTGAGAGGAATAAAGATGATGCCGTTGATGATGTTTAGCTGCTCCAGGATGCTGGCCATGCTGGGAGCAGTGAACTGGAAAACAGGATGACATAATATCAGCATCAAAAACTTTTTAAAAAAGGAGGCAGAGAAAACCTGTTGGTCTCGGAGGCATCACCTTGAGGGGCATGATGCTGGCGTTGGAGCCGTTCTTGTAAATCTCATTCATGGTTCTCTGCAGTGCTACAGCCTGCTGGGTCAGATACTTCAAATACTCCGAGCTCTCTTTGGTTTTCTCATGAGCCTCGCCCATCTGAGAGGAGAAAAACAAATGCAGGTAAACTATGTCTTTGAGAAACTTTGCAGAAACAAATGCCCTGGGTCTTGCCGGACTTACCTGGTTCTTGTAAATGGTGTAACCCTCCTTCTCGTGCTGCAGAGCAGAGCGAAACTCTGCCTTGCTTTCATAAACTCTTGCAACTAGATGATGACTGAAAGAAACAAGATGATGTAAGAACATCATGTCAGGAGTGTTTGAACTCCAAGCATTAACACAACGTCGCTCCACTCACCTGAGGGCCACTTTGAGGGACCGGGGTCCGTGGTACTTTGTGTTGCTGGTCAAAGCATTCTCCAGGAACCGCAGAGATAAATCGTACTCCATCACTCCATGAAGAACAAGTCCAATATTATTCTGCAGAAGACAAGGCAGTCTTTTACACCGTTTCATTATTCGTTTAATAGAAATTCTAAAGCTGGACTCACGTCTATTAGAGCCATCTCTGGATGGTCCTCTCCACAAACCAACAACATGAGGTACCGAGCACGGTAAAGCAGCTTCAGGGCGGTTGACAGTTGGCCGTTTGCAAAGCAGTACAGAGCCAAGTGCATCTGAGATGGTCAAGAAAATAAAAAACATCAAAATAAAGATATTCAACTACCGGTAGTTTAGTTAGAAAGAAACAAAATCCTGCATTTACAAACTTACATATTCTTGAATTGTGTTTGGGTGCTCAATGCCGAGGACTCTTTCACTCATCAGGACAGCTTTCTGCTGGTTGCTGAGAGCCTGTAGGTGAACACACACACACACACTTCAGTTATGGCAACAAGAAGTTCTGAGAAAACCCAAAGAGTTGGTTCGGTTGTGCTGACCTCGGGGTGGTCTCCCATGATGTAATTAAGGCGTGCGAGCAGGCGCAGGCAGGCGCAGATCTCTACGTGCATGGCTCCGTACACGTTGTTGAAAAGGTTCAGAGCCTCGTTGATCAGTTCGCAGCCCTCCTTCAGAAAACCTGGAAATAAGAACAAATAATAGTGTGAATGTTTATGAAGCGTTCACATTATCAACAACAAAGTCCATGCTCAATAATCCAGGTATACAATCCAACATTTTTCAGTCAGGTCATCTGGACAGTTTCTTTTTTTGTGCTGAAACGTTACACCTTCCATCCAGAAGGCTTCATCAGTCAAGGAAACGCACAACACAAAACTGATTCTTACCCCAACAGCTTACTCCAAAGTGGAACAAACCAGTTATGTTGGTGCTAAGATGGTCTCGTTGTCATGCCCCCTCCTCCATTGCTGGCCCTCTTCCTTGTTGAGTCGTGTCAAACTGGTTGAAAACCAGTTATTGAGCATGGACTTTGTTGTTTTCAACCAGTTCGACACGTTCACACTATTGTGATCCATTTTTCTTCCGTACGTTTTTCGGCATATTTCTTTTTCCACAAATTTTTTTTGCCATTTCAATAAATCATATCAAAATGTTTAACTGTTTCAGAACAGTCTTGCTATGACTTTTGGTATTGGTACAACTTTAGCTTTTTGAAATATTTAGCCTTTTCTGCCATATTTTTTTCTCATAGGAAATGAACTGTGCTCATTTTAAATCCTTCATATCTTTACATCTGTTTACAACCTTTTACTGCTGATTTCACGTTTTGTTCTGCTTCAGCTTCTTTCAGCTTCTTTGTGCAAATTTTTAAAAATTCAGCTTTTTTCAGCTAATTTCAGCTGTTTTGTGCTCCTTTCACGTTCTTTCTGCTAACAAACATTTTTGTGCTTCTTCTAATTTATTTCTGCTAATTGTGTGAATGCCTTTAATTTCCTGATGCATGCTCAATAATCCAGGTAGAAAAATCCAAAAAAGTTCAATCTGGTCCTCTGGACATTCAAAAAACAAAACAAAGCAAAAAATATAGAAACGTTTCGTCTCTCATCCAAGAGACTTCCTCAGTCTGAGGTGCTGTTTTCAGCTCAGTCTCTTAAATAGCACCTTCTCAGAGTGGATCAACCAGTTTGCTGCTGCAGCACCTCAGACTGAGGAAGTCTCTTGGATGAGAGACGAAATGTTTCTATATTTTTTGCTTTGTTTTGTTTTTTGAATGTCCAGAGGACCAGATTGAACTTTTTTGGAATGCCTTTAATTGTTTTCAAAGAAACGCTAATAGCTCATAAACAAAAACTGTCTGAAACATGAAACCTTTAATGATTGATCTACATCAGGTCCCCTACAAGACCCACGCCTTCTGACAACAGGAAGTGTAAAGTTTTACATTTAACATCCCAAGCTGACCCATGTGATCCAATCAGCATGACAGTGTGTCCAGTGACCCAAGACATGTTGGTGTAACTTGCTTTCCAACACTGACAGTTTTGGGTGGAGCATGTGAGCGCCGTGGCGTGGCGAAGTAAAACGTAACGCCATCGCAATACATTTGGCTCTAAATTCCACAGATTTGAGCCGAGCTGCATGAAAATCAGTATGATCGATCAATATCCACCCCTTGAACAGGAATCCATGATAAGTGGCCAATAGCCTCTATAGCGCCCCCTACGTTATTCTTACATTTATATCTTGGCCATACATCATCCGATCGGCACCAGATTTTTTGTGCTTGATCAGTGAGCAATTATACACGCATTTGTATTGTTGTTTAACTTTTGACTCAAGTTTGCCCCCTACATTATTCCAGTAGTTATATCTCAGTGATACATGATCCGATCTGAATTTTTTGTGCTTCATCAGTGAACACCTACAGACACTTTGGTATTGTTGATTCATGACATTACTTAAGGCCCACCCACTCAGAGAATGAACTGTCTATATTTGGGTGACTCTTCAGGCTTTGCCCTGTGTAAGTTATAAAACTGAAACTAACTGTTGATTACCACACGACATGTGGAAAAGCATATATGAAGTGCTCGTCAAACATTCGCAACAAAACAGGAAGTCACAATAACTCCTGTCTGGAAGGTTGGATTTCACGTATACTTGTAAGACCTGGAGCTGGACTAGTACTGAAATGGACCGAAGGCGATGTCAAACATTCAGGAAATGCGCCTCGTGGTGAACGTGTGGGGGACTGGCATGAGAGCGTTCGCGATGGCGACTGGGTGGAGGGGCTGAAGCTCCTGCGGTCGCGGCATGGCCGGAGCGGTGCTTTGCTGGGAGGGCCTTAAATGGCATTCACACGAGCATTTTCACTGGAAATGCAAATTCTCTAATTTCAGCTGGTTATGCATCTTTCAGCTTATTTCTGCTAGTTTAAGCTTATTCTGATATTAAAGCTACTATTTAGCCGTCTTAATGCTAATTTTAGCTTTTTCAGCTAATTCCACATTTTTTTGCACCCGTTTCAACATTTTTCAGAATAATTCGGCAAAAATATGCTCTCTCCACTTTTGACTGGTAACTTCAGCTCTCTGCTTCTTTTAGGTACTTTTCAGCAGTTTTTTGCTAAATTCAGCATTTTTCAGATAATTTCCACTTTTTATGCTAATTTCTGCTACATTCAGCCTAAAGCCTCCAGTATACTGCCGCGTGCGTCCGTTCACGCGTGTACGCAGAGGATTCAGACGTCGTACTCCAGCGTACACCCCGAGCAGCTGCAGAGCAGCTTCACAGACAAGGGGCGTTTACCTTTGGGACAAATTGAGGTCGCCGATTGGTCAATTGCTGATACGCCTACTGGATTGATTGACAAGTCGGAAAATAGAAAAAGGCGAGCGCTGGCAGCCTCCGCCGCAGCAGTGTTCTGCGTTTATGTTGTTAATAAAAAGATCTAAAAAATTAAAAAAACGGAGCGCTAGCTCTACAGCCCACACATCAGACCAGCCCACCAGGAAATCTCCAGACCCTCCCGCAGCCACGCTGGACCTGAGTTTAATTTGTTCGTGACAAATTCTTCCATTTCTCACCATTTCAGTCATGGCATCAACGTAGGAGGAAGAGGTCACTGCCTCTTGGCAAAAAAAAAAAGAAAAGGCCAGATCAGAGATGAAGGGGAATTTAATACATTGGTGTCGCATACAAAACAGTCCGTCGCTGGGCAGTTTATTGTGCGACACCGCGTACGCGTTCGTAAAAATTTGAGCTTTGCACAGACATGCCCTGGGGTGTACGCTCGTACCTCTGCGTACGTACGTGCGTACCTCTGCGTATGGATGTACGCGGCAGTATACTGGGGGCTTTTCTGAGCAAACATATTCTTTCTGATTTCTTCTGCTAATTTAAGCTTGTTCTACCTATTCAGCTACATTTTTAGCATTTCTTTAGCTATTTCAGCAGTTTTCAGATAAATTTATTTTTTCGGTGATAATTTCTGCTACTTTCAGCCTAATCAACTTCTTTATGCTAATTTTAGCTTGTTATGCTCCTTTCAGTTTTTTTCTTACTAGTTTCAGCTTTTTCTGCTATTTCAGCAATTATTTACCGGTAGCTGTTTGCATGCTAATTTTAGCTTTTCCAGCCAGTTCCACTTTTTTTTTTTTTAGCTCACTTCAGCTCCTTTTGGTAGTTTAAGCTTCTTTCTGCCTTTTCAGTTAATTTTCTGCTATTTATTTAGCTAATTTCTGCCTTTTTATAGCTAATTTTCTAAATTGCTGTGCTCATTTCTGCTTATTCAAACCTAATTCAGCAAATATGTCTTCTTTCTGATTTATTTTGCTAAATTACCGGGTTCTTCCATTTCAGCTAAATTTCAGCAAGTTTTTCAGCAATAAGCATTCACACTGCATTTTCACGGGAAATGCAAGTTTCATTAGATATAAACACATGAAGATAATCTTTGTTCCCATATTGTGAGGGTCTGACAGCAGCTTACTGATATGTTGTTTTAGGGGTTTTAATGGTTGTACTCTAAATATTATACAAGTAAAAACATTAATGCTCAGAACATTTCCATGTTTGACACCATTTCAAACAGCGTCACCTTGCTGCACTTTGGCCTGCCCACTCTGGAAGAAGTGGAAGGCGTCTGAGGCTTTGGGGTTGACGTGCTTCACAACAGGGAAAATGTTCAGGATGTCCTCCTCCGTGAAGGCCGGCTTGTGGCGGCTGTCGAAGTTGTACTCCTTGAGTAGAATCTAAAAGTTGAACGTAAAGTACATACATTGAGTTTCATTAAAAAATATTAAAAGGAACCACTGACAAGTTTATATAGTGAGGTCAAGGTGGTGAAACTATTACCTGGATGCCAGTTTTGACTGAAATTTCTCGGAGCAGGGTGATTTTCTGAAGGCCGTACTTCTCCACGACCTGATCGACACTTTCACTGAGCAGGAAAAATAAAATAAAATCACTCCTGCTAGCCAAAAAAAAAAAAAATAGAGGAGACTTTCCCATTAAGTGATGAGACACTCACCACTGTAGGGTGAAGTGATAGTAGCTCAGAGCCTCAGAGGTGATGTTCTTCCACAGCTCGCTGGGTGTCAGGCTGGCCCACGCCGTGTTGTCGCCGGCACCGGGGACCCTGTTGCGGCGTTTGCGGCTTTTGCGTCGTGACACGAGCTCGTCTGGAGGCAGGTGGGCGACTGCGTCGGGGAAGGAGCTTAGGAAGCAGTTCAGGAAGTGGCTTACAGCGGCAGACAGAGCAGACAGCTCCACACCCTGCGTCAGGACAAACACAGTCCATTAAATAATGTGGATTTGTATCTTTAAGAAGTTTTGAGATGTTACACACCTGGAGGTATGTCCTGAAGATATGTTTAGCACACCTGGTGATCAGCTCCATGATTCCTATTCTCTGTAATTAAAAGGGGGGAGAACAAACCTTTAAAACTGCAGCGTCGCAGCCGACAACATTCAGATTTGGGGAATCGGACTCACGTAGAAGTGCTCCAGCTGGGCTTTGGCAGGAGTCTTATCCACAAACTCTAAAACTGTGCCTAAATAGCGAACATTGATGCCTCTCTGGTGCAAGGCCTCAGTCAGGGTGACTCCATCCAGGGGCAGAGTGCTGTGGTCCAAACTGTCTTTAATCTGATTTGAATGCACATTAAAAGTCACACACTGATAAATCCAGTTAAAAACACAAACGTGTTTAATGAGCATCGCTGACCAGAGCCGGGATCTGACACGACACAAGGAAGGCAGCGGAGTCTTTGAGAAGCTGCTTCTGCTTCTGGACGTCCTCCAAGCTGTCGTCTGGAAAACGCACTCCTGTTTCAGCAACCACACACACACGGTCAATTTTTGTTAAAAAAAAACAGAAATAAAAACTGAAAATGAAATATTAGGTATTTTAGCTACACTTCAACCAAAAGGAGTCAAGTTTTTTGGTTTTTTTTGAGCTTCACGTTTTAAATTTAATTAAAAATTAATTTTCTGCAAATCTGGTCAATAATACACTGTAGATCAGCAAAACGTTTTCCAGTTATTAACTGAACAAATTAAAAAGCACTTCTAAAACATGCTAAAACAGGATGAACAGGTTCAAAGCAGCCGTTCTGCACGGTTAAATCTAACTAAACGTTTTTAAGTTTGCATGTTTTTACCAATATAAAGGGTTAAAACTCGACGTAATGTTTTTATGTTATGAGTGCTTAGTGTATATTTAGTTGATGTTTTTCTTAGTTCATATCTTAGATGTTATTACTGTTTTTCTTTTACATTTTATTGTTGGATGTAACTGGGACCCTGTGTACATAATCTCGCTCCACCACATGAGGTGCGAATGACAAAGAATCTGACTGAAAAAAATCCACTTTCACACTTTACCTTCTTACAACTTGTTTCATATTAAAGGCCAACTTCTGTTTGACCCCTCACCTGGAGAGAAGATGTCGGGGTTGAAGCGAATATCAAAAGACGTGTTGCTGATGGAGCCCACGGCCTTGCAGGCGTTCAGGACCACTTCACGACTTTTGGGATCTGTCATCAGAACCCCCGGGGGGGGGGGGGGGGGAATAAAAAATGGATACAAATATGTTAAAAAGGAACTCGCATCACGTCAACAAATGTAAACAGTTCAGGTTCTTACACCATGTCCACACGAAGGTGCTGCTTTCTGTAGCCTCAAACTGTTTTAGCATTTAAACTTGACAAACGCTTAAAGAGATAGTCCGACTGTTTTGAGGTGGGTTCCGTGGAAAGAATATAAACACCAACATCTTCCCCGTCATAGATCGCTCTGAACAACATGAAATGGTGTTTCATTCTGTCTGGATTGACGAGCTCGTCCTTAGCCCAGCTGAGCCAAGACTAAAGTAAATTGTTGCCTCCTTGAAACAACTCCAAACCCAAATATTTCACAGCAGTTCATGCAAATGCCATTAAATACACATTTACGTCACTGTCAGTTTTGCTTTAAGTAGTTTTTCTAGCAGAAATATATTTTTAAATGTTCTACAGCAGGGCTATTCAACTAAATTGCTCAAGAGGCCACAGTTACTGAAAGCCAAGAGCTCAGGGGCCGAACATCCAGCAGTTAGTCATTAAGTAAGTGTTTCATGGTTTAAAATCTAGTTTTATTTAAAAATGAACCCACTGGTGGGACGAACTAAGTTCAACCATGGGCCTGATTTGGCTCCGGGGCCACCAGTTGAATAACCCTGAACTACTTGCTTTACCAGAAGTGCAGCTGCTGCTGCTACTTTGCAAGGAACCACAGAAATCCACATAAAAAAAACAGAGTAATGGAAAAATGATGGCAATGTGAAGATTTATACGTTTGCACTCTGACAACGGAGTTATTTTAAAACGGCAGCATTCTACTATGGTACTCGTCAATCTGGTCAGAGCTGAGAATTTTCTTCCACCCGAGGTCATTCGTGGAGCCATCTTCAACAGATAACGGTTTAAAACGTTTCCACAGAACCCCAATGAATGGATCCGAGCCATCTTTTTAAATCGCAACAGTAAACTTTGGACAGTGTCTCAGAGAAAACCAAGCATCTTCACCCAGCCTGCTGTAGACATGGCGTCAGCATGAACCCCACCACCGTAGTCAACAAACAGCCCACAGATCATTCACCGTGAGATTACTCCTTCATTCCAAGACTCATTTGGATTAAACACCACAGCCTCTGATTATTCTCCCCACTGGGTCAAACCCGGCTACACAGTGATCACATGCTGGAGACGGGTGGATCAGGTGCCAACAATCTCCCCTACTGCAGGCTGACAGTTAGCAGAGACGGCTAATCAGGTGGAAAGAAGCAACTAATTGAAATCACATTTAATCAGACACTTGACTGCTTTGACTCTATGAATACATGTGTGTTAAACACTTGGGCTGTAATAGGTTAATGTTTGGTTTACAACATAATCTCCGATTTATTTCCTTCTATGCAATGATCCACCAGAGTAGCTCTCCCTGCATTACTGCTGCCTTAGTTTTTGGGCTAATTCTGGACCTACCAACACCAGATCCATCTTCGGCAACTAAGGTCTCCGCCAGCTCTTTGGCCTGAGCTAATCCTGGAATACTTTCTTCAAGCTCCTTAACCTCCAATTTGCTTTTGAATTGCCCGTTCGGAGTGCCTGCAGGGTCTACAGGCCCGTTTGTTGTGGGCTTTGAGTTTCCTTCACCTTCGATCACCGTTTGAGAGTCAGTACTGTTGTCTTCCTGGTCTGTGCCATGTGTGGACACTCGTGTGGCAGTAGAAGAGTCTGTAGCTGTAATCTGTTTTGTATCTGCGTTGCTTTTTTCCTCTGACGTGTCAGTGATTGCAGGCGTATCAGCCTTGTTCAAGTCCTTGTTTGCCTTTTGATGCATAAGCTGCAACGCTGCCATCTTCATGAAGAGGAGATATCTAAAAATACATAAACACAAATGAAACGGACTGTAAGATTTGTATGTTGTGTTAAAGTTGAACAGAAAAGGCTCTGTGCCCACCTGTGCTCCACAAAGGCCTCAATGAGCTCTTGGCGAAGACAAGCCAAGCGATGGCGGTGCTGGCGGGGGAAGCCTTGGCACTGGCTATCTGCAGACAGCTCCTCTCCGCACACAGGCAGGAAGTTAAGGTCCGGAGGGAAGGTACGAAGAAGGTCCAGAATGTAATGTCGGCCATCATTCCCAATGATGCCTTTACATTCGACAGAAGAGCACAACTCCACGGCCTCCTCCTTCTCGTTCAGCACTTTGTGCCGCTGAACCTGCATTTTACATCATATGGAAGTGAGCATTTAGTTTTTAAAGGCAGGATACAAAATTTGCTCTATAACTTAAATTTAATACGAGTCATTGAGGCATTACTGACCTTCAGCGGCCTGCTGGTCTTATCCAGCAGCTCCAGGTATTTGCTGTGAGAAACTACAGTCTTTCCAAAGTCAATGGAGCCGTAGATGACGCTCTGCTCCTGCTCACGCTCCAGGATGCCTGGGATGATGGACTGGGCGGTGACTCGGTAGCCCCTATAGTCCACCACTACCGTTCCCAAGGTGTACAGGCCCTCCACATCCACTGCTCCGTAAGCCCGAACGCCGTTCAAGTCATTAGTGGGTGCAGCGTGGGCGGCTGCGTCGCCGCCCAGCTCGTGATAATGGTCCCGCACATCGAAGCCCAGGCTGAAGAAGATGTTGTTCCAGATGAACATCTGCATGCGCGTTTCCTCGCCAGGGTTGATCGCCATTACGTTCCCATCGATTACCGCCATGGCGCCTCGAGTGGCTGCGGCTGCAAAGTCACTATGCACCTGCAGGACATAAAAAAAGGAACAGAGCATGGAGTCTTCCTGTTAACAGGGAGTTGTTCCTTCCCACTGTCGCCTCCATGCTGCTTAGGATGGGGGGATTGCAGCAAAGTGATGCAAAGATTTAATGAAGACTCGATGCATTTTATATTGTTTTGTGACTATATTGTGTTAAAATATGAATTAATTGACCGTCATTGGATTTAAATCTGGATATGAATTAGATGCAAGTCTTAGACTGTTTTTTTTTCTTTTGCACAGTTTCCCCCAAAAGAACTTTTGTTGAGACTTGTCCCCACATAAATAAACTGATCTGAACTGTACCTTGAAGATGGCCCTCTCCCTCAGCAGGCGCTCAGGTAAGTTTTTCTGGGGAAGTTCTCTCGTGGTCTGAAGCTCCTCGTTCCAATCTCTGGTCTGAAGAAATAGAAACCTCCATTTACACTCTGGGAAGTCTAACTCCACCAGTTTCTGCTGTGGTTTTAGCTGCTCCCACCTGTCCAGGTATGTGCTCCTCATAGCCCAGGCGGGAGGTGTAAGCGTCCTCAGCCCTGACGCAGTCCATGGCGTGGTCGACCTGCGGTGCGGTCCAGCTGTACAACTGGAAAGGTGTGGCGATCCTCTCAAACGGGTGTCTTTGAACTCTGCAGTGAAAATAAAAAATTTTAAAAAACACTAACCCTGAGGCTGCTTTTACATTTCCTAATAAAAACTGATGTGATGCCTCAAGCTCAGATCCTGACTGTAAAATTAATCTCAGTTAAACAAGGTCAACGAACCAAAGGATTAACTTCAGAATGCCTGTCGAAGCAACTGCTTTAAAGATGAATCCAACAGGAAACAGGAGGAGCTTTTGTAAAGTAAAAAGTGAGTAAAGACGTAAGATTAACTTTGTTTTATTATTAACGCTCAGACACAGTAATTAAAAAAGATAAAATAACGATTTCAGTGACTTGAAACAGATTAACAAATAAACTAAACAACGTTTTTACCTTTTCTTTTGCAGTGCAGTGAAGTTCTTCTTGAAGGCAGGGCTGATCTGGCTCAGCAGCTCCACCAGAGAATGGCTCAGGAAACTCGGGTTGGTTGGTTTTGGGTTGAACGTGTAGGTTGTAGACCTGAGAGACACACGTATTGCATCACATTAATCCCTTCATTTTCCAGAGAAATTTTCCCACAACACCTATTCATTATATACCTCAGGTAAATTGGAGGCCATCTTAGAATGGCGTGGTGCAAATGCTTGAAATGAAAGTAAGGTCATCAGGACCGAGAACGACTAAAACTCATCGCTGTCTGTGCAGACAGAGCAGCATGTCTGCAGGAAGTTTTGATGCAGAACGTCTGTGATTGATTCATTATATTTTGACCTCAGAAATACACAGAAATAATTTCAAATACAAACTATTCATTTGTAACAATTTTAAGAAATGAGGATAATTTGTCCTCCATTAGTTTAAGTCTATAGCAGCATAACAAGCCAACCCTAACTATAGGATTTATCAAAAAGGTAAGTCTTGAGCCCAGTCTTCAAACTGGACAATGTGTCAGCCTCATGGACAGAAACTGGAAGTTGGTTCCACAAGAGAGGAGCCTGATAACTGAAAGATCTTCTTCCCATTCTGCTTTTGGAAACTGTAGGAACCACAAGTAAGCCTGCAGTCTGACAGCGAAGTGCTCCGTTAGGAAAATATGGAACAATAAGATCTTGAATACAAGATGGAGCTAGGTTGTTGAGGGCTTTGTAGGCTAGAAGTAGGGCTGAACAATTTTGGAAAATATTCTAATTATGATTTTTTTACATCAATATTGTGATTTAACATGCCATTATTTTTCAATGTCTTCTTCTCATGTATTTTTCAACAAACACAAGCAATAAATCTGTTTCAGTTGCAAAAAATCTCCACTGTTTTCAGCAGCGCTGCAACTCTGTTTCTGCATTTTTTGTGTAGCTCTGGGGTAACAACTTGGCTAAAATGTGTGCGCGAGGGCATTCTGTACCACTTATCCATTGTGTTTATCAAAGCTGTAAACCCAGGCTTGATCACTGCATTAATGGGCGTCATGTCTTTCACTATGAACTCTGTTATTGCTCGAGTTATTTCCACGTGCCGTTTCAAATTATGTTAATATGGAGTAATACCTTCAAACAGTTCTGTCAGTGATCCCTGTCGGCTGGTACTTTGCTAACTTTAAGTTGAAGCACTGGTCGTTGGCATTCTAGCCATATCGTAAAATGGCTTTGTGGCGTTTTTTTAAGTGTTGATAAAGATTTGTGGTGTTACCTCGAGAGGTAGCAACAGCAGCAAGGCAGGTTCTGCACAATACATGTTGTGCAGAACCATCTGCTCCCTAAACGGGTCTTTCTTGCAAATGAGTTCTCGTGACTCAATGAAACCAACCTGTATAAATAAAGGGTAAATGTCTTCTTTTTTATAGATAAAATAATTCCACACAACAGATGTGCTGCCACTCTTTGGCAACAAACTTTCAGATGTGTCAGCTTCTGATGAGCCTGACACCACTGTGCAACCAGTTAAAACGCAATGTTGACTTCTCCCACTCCCTGCTCTGCTCCACTCACTCGCAAGTCACGTAACCAGATCACGTGACCAGTCAAATCGCAGCCTTTGCGATTGGAAAATCTCGTTTTATCATATTATTGCAAATGCAATTGATTATTCAGCCCTAGTTGGAAGTAAGACTTTGAATTCAATTCTGAATTCAGGACTGTACCCCTCATTTGATGTTTTTTTTTTTTTTTTAAACAATGAAAAGCATGCACTTTTTAATGAAGACTTGTTGGCTTTTGTTGCTTGTGGATAGTAGCATGATGTGCAACGAGTACCGCCAACCATGCATAATACGCAAGTCAGTAAATTGTCAGAATAATCAACATCCAAAGCATGAATCCTTCACACAACAATCCTGAATGTGTGTGTTTTTTTTTCAAGCATATACGTGATTGTGTGATAATGATGTTGTTGGTGCACATGGACAAACAGTTCAATTAAAGAACAAGTAAGAACTCCAGCCGTCAGCTGCAGTGTGGAGAACTTTCATGTTGATATACCGCCCTATCTGCTGGTGTAGATTGTGAAGACATTTCTATGATGCTCAACGGTCAAACTGGAGACAGAATACAAGTTCAGGTGTTTGTTTTGTTTTTTGCCTTTTTTGGGGGAAGTGGGGGGGGGGGATTTACTGACCTGTCCAAACCAGTTAATGATAAGAGTAGAAGACTTCACCAGTACCACTCATTATTTCTCTGACAGAAGTGGTCTTAGTAAAAATAAGCCAGAATCTGATGGCATTTTCTAAACGTGTGTCCACATACTGTCTCTTACGGATGGACAGAGGGACAATTTAGGGGAAAAAAGGTTTAACGTTTCCGTTACTCAGAGGCCAAGCTGCAGCATAGACGAAATTTAAAAAAAAGGGGGTCACCGGTGACCTTGACCTTTGCCCTTGAACTGAAGAAGGCTCATTCTTGACCCAAGAGGTGTCCAGCTGTGCAGGTTGACATTTCTAAATTGAAAGGTTTTCAATTTAGACGTCCGAGAAGAAACCACCCACAGAGACAGATGGTGCCACAGAACAGGCATATAAAAATATTTTGTAATAAACTAATTATAACAGTTTTAACTAGTCAACTAGTGTGCTGCTTGTACAACATCTGTAGAAAACAGCTCAGAGAAAGATGATGAAACAGATTATACTCAACACTTTAATAAACTGTTTCGATTAAACTGCTAAAAAAAACATCCAAACTGCCATTTACAGTCTAATCTAATTTCAGCTCATATTTAGTTGAAATTCAAAGTCAGTATTTTACTAACGGATTTATAATTTAAATTTTATCGGTACTAACCTTTCATGTAAAACAGTGCGCTTGAAAACCTGCATTTCATTCACCAACGATCTAACCGATAGATGCTGTCAAACGTTTGATCTGAAGCTGCAGAGCTCAGATGAGGACGGCAGACCCCGCGGCAGGGAGTAAACCGAGCTGCAACGTCAACTCACTGGTTGAGGTAGAAGCCCCGTGTGGAGGCGGTGACACTGACGTGGCGCTCCTCCACCGTCACCATGTTCAGGTACATGAGGTCGCCGTGCATCTTCCTGTTCCCAGGCGGAGGGTTCCAGCCGCTCATGGTCAGGACCTTCAGGCACTGCATGGGCTGGTGACGACGGCACATAAAGAAAAATGGTTCAAATGATCTTCCATTACTGACACATCCCGAGTTTATGTACTTTTATTTTGTAGGTCATTTTATATTGAAAATCATACAAAGCAGAGAGTCCCACACCTTCCAGTCCTTGTTCTGTGGCTGGAGGGGCACCACAGGGCGGTCTTTGCTGCCCGGCAGGATGTGTTCTGGGGGAGTACAGTCGATCTGTTCCAGCTCATTGCCCTTCTTCTTCCTCTTACCGCTGTCTGCGATCAGATGAAGGAGAAACGTTTGTGTTAGTGAGGCTAACGCAAGGCTGCTCGATCTCTTCTGTTAAAGACCCACGCTGTGAGAGCCCTTTAACTGATCTGGAGACAGCAGAACACCTCGTTCAGTTGCAACACCTGTTTTATGTAGGTGGAAATCATGTATGCAACACTTTTGCTTCGATTTGAGCGCAGATCACTGAGAAAAGTTTAAACAAAAAGAGAAATTTATTTATTTTAAATCTTTATCAACAAGTCCAATTCTTCATCTCTTAAGCACAAGGGAAGCTAAACGCTAACTGTAGCATTACAGCTGCGAAATGGTCCCTCACTGATGCCGCCAACACTCTAACCTTTAAAATCCTTCAGAGGACAGAAACTCTATAAATGAGTTTTAACAGAGTGGAGAAGCCAGCCTACAGTCTGGGCCTCAGCAGAGTCTTACCTCCGAGGTCTCCGTCAGTGAAGACGCTGAGGAAAGACAGGGAGTTGCAGTCCACTCCGTTGTAGGCGTCGGAGGGGTCCAGGCTTTTCAGCAGGTCTCTGATGTGGCGCACATGAATGCGGGCTTCACGCACCGTGTACGGCTCTAGAGGACAAAAACAAAATGACAAACTAAAGCCGGTTTTCTTTATAGAGTTAAAACGCTTGAGCAGAGTTTTAAAGCCCAAACTGTATGGAGTCGGTCCAAGCTTCTGTCCATGTGCTTAATATCACATTACCAATCTTATCTTCATTAGCTTTGGTAAATATAGCAAACAAAGAAAGTTGTCTTGCACTAATAGATTTTCATCAATTACCAAAATATAATCCTAGGAATCATTTAGGTTTAGTCATAGTTACAATTAGCCCAGTAAATGCCACTTAGGTCCCAGTATGTGTTGCAAGGTCAGTGCAGGCGACACGTGTGGTTAGCTGGTGTTCTTTGACAATTCATGCCGTCTGTGCAACGACTGAAAGCTTTGAGCACTACAAGCTGCCAAGTAATAAACTTGATCTTCGTCGAGACGCGTTAGTTATTGGAAGCAAGAAGTAAGTTCCAGTACAAGAGGTGTGAGCCCCACCCTGAAACTATTAGGACCCCCTAATCCAGGGCTATTCAACTAAATTGCTCAGGGGGCCACGTTTAGTGAAAGCCAAGAGCTCAGGGGCCGGACATCCAGCAGTTATTGTGATTAAATACGTTTGTTTTATAGTTGAAAAGCCAGTTTTATTTCAAAATGAACCCATTGGAGGACCGAACCGAGTTCACTCGTGGGCCTGATTTGGCCCCAAGGCCGCCAGTTGAATAGTCCTGCACTAATCTTTAAGTTTTAGACAAGAGGTGAGAAACACCAAATAGAAACGTAAAACGTTGTTTTATTCCTGGATATTTATCTGTATTAAAGAATAAAACGCAAGACGCCGATGCTGGTCTGCCAGGTGGATTAAGTGATTTAGTGAATAAATGTGTATTTGAGGTTACATTGAGTCTTTACTTTTCAGGAGGAATCAAACGTGCATTGAAACATTGTAATTTGTAGTTTTACCTTTATTAATGTTATATTAACCGCTTGTATCACTAACTAACTATTCAATCAGTCAGAGCTCCAAGAGCCAACGCTGCTAGCAAGATCCTCCATCTGCCTGCACACGCAGAACAGACCCGTTCGGTTCCGCAGGGATACCTTGGATGTTGTCTGTCTGCCGGACCAGGTTCTGGACTGTGGGTCTGTGAGGCCAGCTGCTGCGGTCCTTATTACCATCAAGCTGCTAACAAGACCATGTCGCTAACAGAACCATGATGTTGAAAGAACCTCACTGCTAACCGACCCCTTGTATTTTTGTAGTATTTTTAGTATGTTTTTAGTATTTTTGCTGCATGCTTTGGTATTTCTTGTTGTTTTTCTTTGTTTTTTTGTTTGGGTGAGTCGAGACGGTTCTTCTCGTCCTAAGCATCTCATTGCACTGTTGACCTTGAGTTGATTTTGCATCTGACAAATAAACCTAGCTCCAACTGTTGCATCATGAACTGGTCAAAGGCCTCCATTAACTGGGCTAAAAATCAAATATGACCACACCGACTCGTTCCAATTGTTAAAAATATACTTTGTTCTCCTCGGAGTCTGACCTTCAACCACTTTGAGCAGCGAGCCCTCCTGCAGGCCCTCGATGGACTTGAGCTCTGCAAAGTTGTCCAGCACGTTCCCGTCCAGCTGCAGAGAGAAGCAGGTGCGGTGGCAGGTATCCTCGCGGTCCATCAACACCTGATGGATCTCCTGCACCATTTCCTGGGGCGACACCTGATTAACAAAAGAGATTAGGATTAGTCTTTGAGTAGAAGCTTGTGCAGTGGTCTAAGCGCCCTTTTGTCACCCTTTGTTGTGACAAAAAGGATTGTACCAAGAACACGCTGCGATTCCATTAGCAAGCTGTCTCAGCGTCACACACAGCTCAGGAGCTTGTCGGTACCTGCAGGTCAAACGGCTCCGTTCCAGGCGCCTGGATCTTCACGGTGAAGCCCGTGTCCTGGATCACTATCACTTCTTGCTCGTTGGACTCGTCCCCTCCGTCCGCCGTCCCGTTGTGCTTCGATTCGGGCTCCTCCGTGTGCTCGTGAGCTCCGTCTTCGTTCACCATGGCTGTATTTGCACTATGCCCTGCAACAAACCAGTTCACGGTGGATCACAAGACATTCGTGGCCTCCTGCAAGAACTTCGGCAGTTCAGCCGTTTAGATTTGTGTGGAAAAGCCAACAGCTTTTTGGCTTCACCATCTCTCAGTAGAAAAATGTCAACACTGAATTTGTCCGCAGCTGAAGGAGAGTGTTTTCTTCACCCATCTGTGTGTGCACGCGTTTGTTTTAGCTAAACATCTCACGAACCAGAACAGATTTAATGAAACTTGGATAAACATCTACAACTGATTAACTTTTGAGTTGATTCATGATGGCTGCCACAGTCAACTGACCTTAGAAAACACAAAAATGGCCATAATTCAGTCAGATTCACATAGATTACGCTATAATTTGGTGTAAATGAAGCTGAATCTCATTCACAACACAAACTTCAAGTGCTGCTTATTGCATAAAAAAACCCCTTTGCTTTAAACTTAAGCATGCACTCTCAGAGTCGGCACGGTTTGTCTGTTAGCAAAATATCTCATGAACCACCAGAAGGATTTTATTGAAACTTTAAGAAAGTAAACACCAGGTGAACATGTACAACTAGTTAACTTTTGATATCACTCCGATTCAAGATGGCTGCCAAAACTAACTGACTTTAATCTAGACAAAAATGCCTATAAGTCAATTATATTGATATTAAGCTAAAAAAAAAAAATTTGTGGTAATAGTGGAGTCATCCTTAACACACAATGGTGAGTGATCCAAGAAACAAGAGACAATAGTCTGTGTTGTTTAGATGTAAGCTTGTGGACTACAGAAAGGTTTTAGAGCTTCTCTGACTCCATTAAATCTGACTCTGACCCACAAGAAACAGCTCTTTGATATAATCAAGGAGCGCTATATAAATAAACTGAACTGAATAACCATAGAAATCCCAACAAGCTGCTAGCAGGAAAAAAAAAAGTGCTTATCTGAATATTTATGAAAAATTAAGAACTGAAAAGAGCAAAAGCAGCAGAGCTTCATTCCCTCCTGCCATCACCATTTAGATCAATCTAATACAAACTGTTTCAACACCAACGCCCCAGTGGCTTTCAAACCCCAAAATACATTACGGCAAAGACTGGTCCATCCCAAAGATCCAGTCCTCTGGCACAAACAGAGTAATATTGTGCATGTTGTTCAGTGTCAGGGCTGTGATCAGTCTTGCATCGAGGAAACTAAACAGATGGACCAGAAGAGCAACATCATCGGGCCAAGACTCTGTGGTTTATACTCATCTGCAGAGTCAGACCAGCAGTCACTCTTTCAGAGATGAAGATGTTCACACTCTTGATGGAGAGGAACGATGGTTTGAGAGGGGAGTAAAGAAGGAAGCCATATTTGTGACGAGAACTCATTCATGAAACAGGCGGAGGCCTCCGTGTCCAGTTGTCCCCCTCTTACAACGCTGTTATTGCATCACTTAGCCCTCTGTGAATAGCAAGTGGCCATCAAGGTGCTAACCGAACGTTTCAGCAAAAAAAGAAACTGTCCAGATGACCTGACTGAAAATTATTGGATTGTATACCTGTATTATTGAGCATGGACTTTTTTGGTTTTGAACCAGTTTGACATGACTGTCGACGAGGAAGAGGGCCGGCAACAGAGGAGGGGGCGTACCAAAGACACCATCTTAGCACCAACATAGCTGGTTTGTTCCACTTTGGAGTAAGCTGTTTGGGGGAAGAATCAGTTTTGTGTGTTTCCTTGACTGATGAAGCCTTCTGGATGGAAGGTGAAACATTTCAGAAAAAAAAAAAAGAAACTGTCCAGATGACCTGACTGAAAATTGTTGGACTAGTAACGATCTATTGTTAGGCTGATGGTCCTCCTTTTACACGTCGATAGCTAGTTCTGGATGTCACCAGCAAACTAGTTGATCCACTATGAGAAAGTGCTATTTATAAGACTGAGTTTGTTGCAGCTCCTCAAGACTGAAGAAGTCTTTTGGATAAAAGACGAAACGTTTCAACAAAGAAGAATCTGTCCAGAGGACCTGACTTAACCTTGTTAGGTTTCAACACAGATTTGACAAAAAAATAAAAAATTTACTTTCAATAATCCATTTATCACACTGAATACCACAATCAATAGAGCAGAAACTAACACAATCATTTAAAAAAATCTGACAATAAGTGACCTGCTCATCTAAACAGCCTGATGAGATGGGCCTTGTTGCAACAGACTTGAGACCTTTACTTGGAAGATGATGGCATTTAAATGAAAAATTATTTGTTACCAACATAAAAAGAGCTCAAAAACTAGAAAAATGCTAAAAGTAGCTGCATATAAATGTATTGTATCATTACTCAAAACTTTTATAGATCAATATTTTTCTTTGGCGAGTTCAAGTGAACGGAAAATGTGTTTTTAATTCGCATGAAGCTGAGGCCAACTTTGTGGCTGTAGGACAACTGTGTTCTCACAGGGACAACTGCTGCCAGCAAACGTGTCCTCGCTCACTGCTGAATGTAACACAGTGTCAGGGTTACCGAGGAGGCGGGTGGACGGGCTCCAGAGCAGGACGGTGACCCCCGGGAGGGAATGAACGCCATGAAAAAGTGGAGGAGGCCACGCTCTGAATAACAAACACAACAGCTTTGGAGAGGTCACACAAGTTAGCACGGCAAAAAATAAAAGCAAAAGCTTTGAGTCGTCTCGGAGGATTCGTTCTCAGCATGGCGAAGGTTTCAGTCCCAGACGTGATCACCGCTTCCATCAGTCTGATCGTGTTTTAGGAGCGAACAGGTACGCATTACTAAAGAGTCGACACCACAGATTTTCCACAGCTCACGTGTAAACTTCCTGAGAGACTGGAGCCGTCCAGTGAAACCAGACGGCTTCACAGTCGAGTATGAATCGAGCACGTGCTGGAGAGGACTCTCAGCTACTACCACACCAAACGTTAACTCAAGCATCTGTTTAATTCCCTGAGCTACAGCCGCTTTTTGAGAGCGTTGTTGCTTAGCAGTGGCGGCCATATTGAACTGACTCACATCCACTGATTATCTTCTGAGTTTTATATTAATGAGCCACAAGATAATTTCCTGACACACGCAGATTACACCATCGCCATCTTTGGTACAGTCAGAGCAGCTATGAGTTTAACGCCCAACACTGGGATGACAGTGGAGTCAACTGTCCAGATGACCCGACTGAGGATTACTGGATGTGAAAATAATGTTCTGACACGCATCATTGTCCGGTTTGGATCAGACACCAAGAAAGACAAAAAGAGACTTCTATGGAAAATCAGACATGCGGAGAAAAACATTTTACAATATACAAAACAATGGAGGAGTAAAACTAGTAGAACTACTTTTTAACAACTGATGCTGCTTATCATGAAGTCCCAGAAGACAAATTTCTACAAAACTGACCCCAGTTTGCTTCAAACTGGTGGAAGGTGCTTTATAAGTATAGAGAAAACAAAAAAATCCAATGATCGTCAGTAGAAATCGCAACTATTCTTCTCAATAATGTTTTAAAAATGGGAAGACGTGCTGATGAAATTTTAAAATGATGCTCTTTCAGGTCATATTAAAACATCCAAGGTTCAGGAGGACCTCTGTTAAGTTTTCATGGTACTAGAAGTACGGTAGGCCTGTCACAAAAAACAATAAATCAATTAATCGCATGATAAATGAAAATTATCGACCTCGTTTTCATTTATCAGCTTCATCGTTTCTTCGTGTCTCTCTTTCTACTGAAGACACTGGATGACAAAAGAATCAACTCCGGTGCTCTTCACTGACCCCTCCCTTTCACTTTTCTCTAAAATCTGTTTAAACCATCCAAAATGGCGTTTTTGGATCGTTAAAAGCAGCCAAGCTGAAAAGCTAAGCTAACAGGTCGACCTCGGGAAAATCCTCCGTCTTGTCGAAGCTCCAGAATTTACAGTTGAAACTCGTGCCTTCGTCTAAAAAAGTTGTTCTCTGCAAAAAGAAGCTGAGAACTTGTTTACTATTTTTTATTAAAAGCTTTGTGTGACAAATGCTATGCTAAAGAGCTCAAACCACACCAAGCGTCCGCCATTTTGAGAATGGAAAAAACGGGAAGAAGAGACAGCTCATGTCACGTCAAGTGGCCTCCTTCCCCTACTGCTTTCTCACTATCCATCCTTCGGTTCAAACAGTCTTATACTGCCATCCGGTGGTCAAAAAAGGTACTACACACAAAACAAATTAAACATTTCTTTTTAAGTTGGACAATAATTACTAACTATTGTCAAATTTCAAACAATAATATTGTTTATCACAATAATTTCTGAGACAATTAATCGCCCAGCAAAATTTGTTATCGTGACAGTCCTAACCAGAACGAGTATGTTGACAAAACCTGACTCCGTTTTAACAGGAAAACAACTTTTATACAAGATGTGAACAGCAGACATTTTTAAGACAGAGCGTCTCATTTTAGGGTCCTTTACTACTACTATCCAGGACAAATGCAGTCCAGACTCCATGCCGTAACTCTCTCAAGGTCGAAGAACCTCTTAATAAAGTCAAGGTAAAGAATCCACAAAACAAGAACCCAAATCAAACCTTATGATACACTGGAACATCTGTAAACATGCAGATGTGTTCAAACAGAAAGTGAAAGCTCTGAGTAAACTCACGGTCCTCACTTCAGACCTGTACGTTTAACAACGAGCTCCTCTGTAGTTCTATACACCAGCCCAGCTCTTTTGAAACCCAATATTTCTTGCAGCCACCTGCCCACTTGGCAGCCCTTGACATGGGGGACCATGGCTATTGCCATGGCAACATTAACCAGTCTGACAACCCTGAAAACAAAAACAGCACACAAGGATGGACCACAAGGAGGAGTCCCTGTGGACTGAGGACAGTCTCTAGATTTTTATTTCCACAAGATTGTAATAATATCAGTAATAACTAATAAATTATAGCAGAAATTCCGAGGACAAAGTGTGAACTATTGCAACATATGATGTAGTTGCATTGATCAATAGCGCCAGTGATTCCTGGATTATCTGGGCCAATCTTCAACCCTCAAGAACATTAAGCTTCTTAAAGCCACTGAAAGTGACCCTCACCTCAAAGTGTCTGCTCTGTCACCCAGAGCTACAACGCCTCACCAGCACACATCTATCCACCATGCTGCATTCCAGGACTATATAACTATTTGTTTATTAACCGTTTGAACCATACATAGATGTAACTTGCTACGACGAGGTTACTTCTTTGCTGTTAAACAACTTTTTGACAATAATAATTGAAGCGGTAAACTTCTGATTGTCTACAGGTTCTATAGAAGTGTGCACCGGATGATTACACCGATTCCCCCAAATTTTAATTGTTTATTACCCAGTCAGACCATACATACATAAATCAACTAACACTTTAGGATTAAAGATTATGAAGCCCTTTCTTATTAAAAACACGAGGAAAATCCGTGTGCTCTTCTGTTGGCCATGTGATCATCCATTCTTACAACAGGAATTGGGTTTTTTTTTTTAATGTTCTTGTAAAATGGCAGTGAGGTGTTGCAGAGGTAACTCAAGGTCCCCACGTGTTGAGAAACACACCGCAGTGACTTCTGCAAGTTCAAACTTTGTACACCTCAGGTCAGGCTCGTCTGCCTCCACTGACAACATGCAGGCGCTCCAACAACTTCTCCAACAAACGTGTCACTCACCAGCTTTTACACGACCCTTGGTGTGTCATGAACATAACCTTCCCTCGCGCTCGCTGCGCATCATGACTGCTACGAACAGCTTCCGCTTCCTGGTCGAGCGGGAGCAGCCGAACAGTTCATCCCACACGGGTAGGACTGATACCGGCTAGAGGGGGTCGCTGCTAGCCGCTGGGATTTCACGGGCCCCACATGAGCTAAAACGAACTTTAAACAGCGTTATAATGAAGTAGCACACCTGTCCCCCAGGCTGTCTGACAAACACCACTTCAGTGAAGAAGTAAAGTATGTTAGGAGCCCCCCTCGATGTTCCTGTGAGCAGCTCCACTGAAGGTGACCTTCAGTCCGCTGTCAGTTCCTGTCCGACACGCTGTTAAATTAACATGTGCGTCAGGGTCGAGGCTTGCTCAGCACCCGGCAGATGCGGTGTGTTCGCCGTGGACAGTCGTGTGCTGTGCTGTCGACTCATGCCGAGACAAAACAGACGCTTTTTAAATGCTGCTTCAAAGTCTGAAACCGTGTGCTGGAAGGAGAACAGAGAAGAGCGGCTGCGTGTTAGTTAGCTAACTAGCCCGGAGGCTAACGGTCTGAACGGAGAAGCTAACGTTTGAACGCTGATGAGCGTTAGCGTGCTAACGTTAGCATGCTAACTAGCTTACATAACGAAGCTTCACACGCAGTTTAAAAGGTTAACGCTGCACTATCCAGCTTTTTGAAATGACACAGCTCCCCGGATGGAAAGAGAAACGTGTTGAGCGACAGAATAAAAGTCCAGTTGTTTTTGTTTTATTCGTTTAATTTTCCGTGTCCCGACTGAATGAGAAACTACACCAGCTTGTTAGCACACTGACTGGCTAGGCTAAAGTGTTTTGGTTAACCTGCTTGTCAGTGCGCCTAATGCCACGACAAAGTCTATGACAACAGCTCTAACATATTGATACGATTCTGTGTAAATTGCTAACGTGTTTACTAACAAATAGACACTGATGAAATTGCTTATTTTCGTGCTACAGCCTCCTAACTTCAAGTGAGAGGAAGGTGGAGGCATACACCAAAGCATACCCCCTAATCATGTTACCAAACAGAACCAAGAAAAAATATAAATTATATTTAAGAATCCGTCCAGACGATCTGACTTAACCTTGTTAGAGGAAAACGTATAGTTACCTACAGCATGCTCAGTTACTATAGGAGTAATGCTGCATCCAGAGCATCGGGTAGATTAGCATCAGTTTATCATGAGGAGCAGGGACTTTGCAGCAGACTCACCACAGCCGCAGGAATCCTTCAGACGTGTCCTGCCGGTCTCTTTCCCGTCCTGGGCTCCATCCCCCGGTTCATCCGACAGCTCAACCGGATTACAGTCAGGCACTGACGCCGGGATGTCATCTGTTTTGCTCACCATGTTCGGCAGTCAGTGTTTGTACAGAAATCCTCCACGCAGCTTTGCTCCCGTGTGCGACTCTGACTTGGTGAAATAGGAAAGCAAAAATTAAAACAAACGTGCTTCTCGGGGTGAGTGGCTACATGTAAAGGGTACAGGCTTACAACAACAAGTACTGAGGAAGGACAGAGCAGTACATGGTGGTGAACACACGTGGTTTTCATTCCTCCTCCTCTTGACCTCTTTGCCTTTGCGTTGCACGTCTTGCTTCACCGGCTGTGGAGCTACGGGCAGCCACGAGGGACAAAACTACCAAGAAAAGCTTTGATTTCTCTTTTTTTGCACTAAGAAGGAACGTCATAGGAAATCAAAAGAAACAGCGTGGAAACACACAACTTTAAACATTTCAAATTAGGTTCAGTAAATTAGAAAATGCAAATTATAAAAAAAAGAAAGTATTTTTCACTTCTGTTCATTTGACTTTTTTGCAGATAATTTGGGGAAACCATGTGACTCAAATATTAGAATTAAAGCATACATAGCTACTGATAACAGGTCCTTCATCAAATTGTACCTTATAATTATGTAGCTGTTATTTGTCAACTAGTTAAGTTTAACTAAAGCAAATGAGATATCAAATGTGTAATTTTACATATATATTAAACTTTATGACAAATACTAAGAATTAATAATAAATATGTTCCAATCAAATAAGCTTCTATTTTATCCAAACATGAAATTTGCTATCTCTGATGTTTGTCTCAAATTTTAGTTTCAAATATTAAAGTTATTTAGCAAATACAAGTTTTTGAAATTTAACTTGTTCGGATGATAAAAGCCTTTGATAATGTACATTTATATACTGTACTTTCAAATTTTAGATTTGGTGGAAATGTTAAAATGACAAGTTCAAATATCCACAACTGTTTTGAGGATGTTTTCTGTTTGCTTGTGTTTTTAATTTCATACTGGCTGTGTGAACAATATTTAGAAATTACAAACTGGTATGAACACCGTACGTGCTGTAACTTTAAATTATTCCCATTTTCTTCAAGAATGCCTACCTTTTTTTTTTTTTTGCAAACATTTCATCATAAACATTCTTCTTTTTTGTTTGTAGAGTCCAAAAATCACATTTTAAATCCCTGTGAAGAAAAACAACTCATAAGACCAATATTTTGAGTCTTTTTGACCTGTTTAAAAAAGCAGCTAATCTGTATTTTTCAGAATAAAAGCATTTTCATGCTGTCATAATGAATGGGTAAATGTAATATTCTACGATTGTTTTACGTTGGAGAATTAAAAAGTTTTATAATACATTCTTTGAAACTTTTTTCTGATGAGAACTAATGCTCAGAAATGCCAATTTTTGTTAATAAAACATTGTTTCTGTGAATTCTTTAGCAAAACTTTTCTCTCATCCCTTCAAATCAAAGTCTTAACTCTCCAAGTAATGGTCCCACTCCACAGTCCATTTAATTTTATTGTTGCATACAGAATCACTGTGCAGTGATCACGTCCATGCTCGCCTCAAACAAAACATGTTTTATGCTGAGTACCACAGCATTATTGCTAGAAGCCACATAACACAACAAGATGGAGAAACAAAGTGGACAATAATAATCAGAGCTGGACACAAACGTCGCTGCTGCTCACATCCTTCAGGACTAACATGAGGTTTAGAGACGGGTGCTCAGATATGAGCTCATTCTGTTTGCTGGTCAGGAAAAATAAATGTAAACAGACTGAAGGTTTCGAGCTGCTGGAATATTAATAAAAGACACCAGGCAACCCTCTTAAGAGCTCATTTTCTCTTAAGTTTAATATTTTTTAATTAAATAATAATAATAATTAGATAAGGTTCAATCCTCTTCTGTTAAATGTGTTCAAAGATTTTAATATCAGCTTAAAGTCATGCACCAAGAACCCCATCAGTCCGAAGCTGTGAAGTTTAGAGCAGCTTCAGTCTTTACTGTGTGAACGCTGTTGGACTAACGCTGACATGGAAGCAACAAAAAACGACTCAACGCCTTTCACACGTTTGTATTTTATTTTTAAGCCGATACAACACACTACTATTAACGCACGGTTGTGGCAAAAACTAAAGTCTGCGCTCGTTCCGTTCTGGGCTTTTTGTTTGCGCAAGTAAAAATGATCTGGTTTTTACTACTGTATTCTAAAATTAGTCAAACTAACCTGGGGTGAATAAAACCACACATTCCTTTTCACTAAACGGAAACATATGGGGAAGAAGTGTGTGATGAACGCACAGCACCTCATTCCAGCTGTCAGGCGCAGTGGAGCTGCGATGATTTGGGGCCTTGTGGTCAGCGAGGAGACCATGAGCTCCTCTGTAGACCAGAGGACTCTAGAGCACTCAGAGACCACAGTTACAGAAAGCCAAGCGCTCAAGGGCCAGACATCGAGCAGTTATCATTAAGTAAGGTTGTTTTGCGATTTAAAATCGAGTTTTATTTAAAAATGAACCCATAGGTGGGCCCAACTGAGCACAGCCGTGGGCCTGATTTGGCCCCCGGGCCGCGAGTTCTATAGCCCTGGTCTAGAGTCCAATCTGAGAGTGTCTGACAAAACTGGGTCGTGAAGCAGGACAAGGAGCTGAAGCACAGCTGTAAATCCACAACAGCTGAAAAAAGGAAGTAGGGATGCGCAATATTATTGGCATGGTATCGGTATCGGCCGATATTAGTGATAGTTAAATATCGGACATCGACCATTCCATCAAAATAACTCACAAATATAAAAGGCTTCTGTTTTGTTATTTTTTAATCTAAGAAACTGTCAAGTATATCTATTAATGCACTACTACTTATGCACTTTTCACTTGTGAACAGGTTGAGTATAGACTTGTGAAAATTTACAAATTTTGGAATTGCTGGACTTCCTGAGATGTAATTTTACACCTGGGTTAAAATTAAATCTCAGGAAGTCCAACATTTTACTGACCACATCAACTCTGTGGATAAAAACATCAAGTTCACACGAGAAGATGTAAAAAATGGCAGATTGGCTTTCTTGGACTGTGAGGTCTCAGTCTCTGATAGAGGACATTTGCAAACCGAGGTGTACCACAAACCCACCCACACAGACCAGTATTTGCAGTTTGACTCCCATCACCCTTTGGAGCACAAGTTAGAAGTCATCAGGACTCTGTACCACAGAGCAGACAGCGTCCCCACTAACTCAGGAGCCAGGCAGAAGGAGAAATCCCACACAAGACAGGCTCTAGAGCAATGTGGATATCCTAACTGGGCCTTCCTGAAAGCAGAGAAGAAACCCAAACAGGACTCCAGTCAGCCATCAGGTGAAAAGGAGGAACCCAGACCCAGACCAGTGGTCATTCCATATGTTGAGGGAGTATCAGAGAAACTGAGACGTTTATTTTCTAAACATAACGTCCCAGTGGCTTTTAAACCCCAAAATACATTACGGCAAAGACTGGTTCATCCCAAAGATCCAGTCCCCCGGCACAAACAGAGTAATGTTGTGTATGCTGTTCAGTGTCAGGGCTGTGATCAGTCTTACATCGGGGAAACTAAACAGCCACTGGCCAAAAGGATGGCCCAGCACAGAAGATCAACATCATCAGGCCAGGACTCTGCGGTCTACACTCATCTCCAGGCCAGCGGTCACTCTTTCAGGGATGAAGATTTGCACATCCTGGACAGAGAGGAACGATGGTTTGAGAGAGGAGTAAAGGAGGCCATCTTTGTGAAAAGAAACCGTCCATCATTAAACAGGGGTGGAGGCCTCCGGGTTCAATTGTCCCCCTCTTACAATGCTGTGATTGCTAGTATCACTCAGCCCTCTGTGAACAGTAAACAGCCATCAGTGTGCTAATGACCCATTGTTATGCTGATGGTCCTTCTTGAGCATGTGATCAGCTGGTTTTGGTTGTCAGCAGCAAACTGGTTGATCCACTCTGAGAAGGTGCTATTTTAGAGACTGAGCTGAATACAGCACCTCAGACTGAGGAAGTCTCTTGGATGAAATACGAAACATTTCTACATTTTTTTTTGTTTGTTTTGCTTTGTTTTTTTGAATGTCCAGAGGACCAGATGGAACTTTTTTATTGAATTTCTGAGACAATTAATCGCCCAGTAAAATTTGATATCGCGACAGGCCTTATCGGCATATCCGATATCGGCCAAAAATCCAACATTGTGCATCCCTAAAAGGATTTAAGGTGTCAGTGGTCCAAAGTCCAGACATCTACCTGATGGAAACGTCGTGGTGGGATGTGCAGAAACAAATATCTGAACTAACTTTGTAAAGAAGAGTGGTCCAAAAGTCCTCCACAACCACCTGATGAAGTCCTACAGTAAAGGAAACTATGTTTATGTTGTGCTGCTAAAGTTGGTATTAAATCAAAACTAATAAATCATTTTGTTTTTTAATAAATAACGTATTGAATGTTTTATACACTTTAGGTTAGATTTAATAATTTTAGAACCTGGTTAACACCAGATCCTTTTTTTAATTAAATCCTGACATGAAAAAAAGTTTTCATAAAAAAAGGGACATTTTCCTCCCATGACAGTATGAAAATATTGCTGTATAATTGTGAAACATAGTGTTTAATTAGAAAACACAGCAACTCATCACAGCTGGAGTCAGCCCTGCAGGGAGTGTAACAGATTAAATACACCCCCCCAAACAAAAAGTCATTTTTATAAAACTACTCGAGAAAGAAATGTGTCATCTGCAAACAGTCCAGCTTCTTTAATAAAGCTCATCAATAATAAGGCAACAATTACACAGGAATACTTAGTGATTTATGCAACTTATGGCATCAAGTGTGGCCTGGAATAAACAAAATGGATCTTCAGAAACACGAGGGGGCACCAGCTGCAGGATGTTGGTAACAATTGAGAGAAACTTGCAGATCTATGTGCATTTACACCATCACCAGTCTACGAGTCATTCACAGCTACATCAGGAAGCTGAGCAATTAAAAGAAACTAAAAAAAAAAACAAGTGAGCAAACTTTTCTGTCAGTCTCGGATCTCTCACTGGTCCTCCTGAGGTACAAAGAAACCCAGACACGATGAGGATCTGTCAGTTTGTGTGTTCGGTACAAAAACCACACCTGAGAAAAACACTCAATCCATCGAGTCAGAGCTGATCATCATCGGAGCGCAGCCTCGTTCTGTAAAGCTCAAACTACAAAGGAAGAACCGTATTTCACCTAAAACAGGCACTGCGGTGCAAATTTAGAGCTACGAGTTGGACTTGAAGCACTTGAGTTCTTATGTCTTCCCCCGAACATCAAGTGAGTGGTCTGCTGTAAATATGTTCAAGTCTGCATATAGAAGTGAGCTGTGTAATGGCATTTACATCCATTTTATGTCTGAAAATATGTTTTATTTTTCCAAATAGTCTGAGAAAACGAAAGACAAAACAGGCCAACGTGCAATCATAATCTGAAGTAGATTAAAATATTTTAGCACAAGCTGGTAAAATTGTGATGCTGTCATTTCTCCGTTTATCCTGCGTTAAAGTAGTTTGTTTTTTTTTTTACCGTCAGTCATTTTTAGCCCCCTTTGGTGTCGTGACGTTAAAGTAAAAGAAGTTGTTGACGTGAAAACTAAACTACTTTTTTTTTTTTTTTAAGTAACTGGATAATCCACTTAAATCTAAACTAAGAAATGTAATAGTTTCCTTATAAAGTACGACTCATTTTGTTCTCAGCAATGCAAAAAAAAGTTATAAAGCAACTAATCTTAATCAGTTGCAATATTTAGCATCTCTAACAGAAATACGGTGTAAAAACTGCACAAGATTTTTTTTTTTGTAACATTGTTTCTTGGCAATAAGTTTATTTTGGTATAGACTCGTCCCGAGAAAACGCCACCAACACCTGTTCCAAAACCTGTCGGCATTTATCGTCTGAATTTACAGATTTACAGTCGAGGTTTGCAGGACGACTTCAGTCGACGACAGATTAAGCTGAGCTCCAGTTTCATCGGACTGCCCTTCACCGCTGGAGTCTGCAACGTGCGCTGGAACCTCAACACGCAGAGGAACGCTCAGCCATGAGTCCAGATTCAGCCCAAGTGTGGAGACAGTTGTGCTGATGGCTGCACCAACAGGGTACCAGCTGCAGGTGGAGGCAGTACGGTGGTCTGGGGCAGTGTCTCCATCACTGAACGCCAGCCCCCACAGAGCAGGGTTTACCAAAGATAATCTCCAGTATTTGGGATTGAAGAGGACGGATGACCTCAACCCCACTGAACAGATGTTCATCCATCATCCTGTGGGATCAGCTTGGACATGACGTTCGTTCCAGAGTGACCAACAAAACCAGACTGGCTGACTTGTGACAAATGGTATTTTAAAAATGAAATATGATCAAGCTGGTGAGCAGCAGCAGGAGAAGGAGCCAGGTTATTGTGGCTGGGTATGGTTCTTCCACATGCTACTGAAACGGCTGTTTGTTACATGCAACAGAAATAGCTAAAATAGCTGAATCACCAACACGTCTTGTTTCTTAAGACTTCAATCACCCAATCCAACAACGACCAAAAAGTCAAAAACAGCATAAACTGTTTGACAATGACAAGACTTAAGTTTTTCATGGGTCCAAGCCATGAACACATTCTTCTAACAAATGTGACACCTGGTTAGGTTAATTAGACACTTTCCAACAGTAAGAGTTATTGCCAAGAAGCATTGTTCCAAAAAAAAGAAAAAGAAAAAGAAAAACGTCCTTAGTTTCTGGGCTTGGTTTATATTAAAATATACAGTATATTGGGAGTCAGACTCTGTGAGCTACAGAGCAAACCATCAGGTCTGGTTTCAGCACACAGATCAAAAGCACTGCTAAACTGTTTGAAGGACTAACGTGGATGGGATCAACTCAAACATTTGTGGAAATTTTGGGAAGAAAATCAAACCACCAAACCACATTCTGCACATATTAGAAGTTAAAGTCTTCAATCCAGTGAAAAGATTTAGAATAAAAACAGCTCCAAGTCCAAGTAAAGGAAACAAACTTAAACAGAACCTGAACTTTGTTTTGTCCTCCCAACGACAGCGACTGCTTTCCTTCCAGATCATCTGAAGTGTGTCGCTGGCATCAGTTTTAAAATAAATCACCGTAAAACCAGTACGAGCATTTAAAATCTCATTTCTGTCCTAGTTTTAGTTGTTTAGTTTAAACGATGTATAAATTATTGCATTTCATCAAGTCTTTACATGTTCCTTCCTGATCGTTTGGGCCTGGAGCTAAAACACAAAGTGAAGATTTTGTCTAAAAACATTGCAAAGTTATGTTTTTATGGCTTAAATGCTATTTTATCCTAATAAACTCCGCTGTGCAAAATATTAAAAAGGTCTAAGCTACTTTCTCTCCTCAGGAACAAACACTTGGATCAAAGACCCCCCCCCCCCCCCCCCCCCCCCCCCCCTACCAGCCGCCGCCCCGCGGGGGGGGAGGGGGTTGTTGGGTGC